CATGAACCAGTCATGTTTATGTTTTAGCCCCCCTCTTTTTAATTTTTATTTTGAAATACTCCACTGAGTCTACGTAGTGCTGTCCATATACACATGGGCATGTGGCTATCCACTGGAGTATGGATAACCTAACACTGGCCACAATACCACAGAAAAATTACTCTCTCTGGGGCTGGAGAGATAGCTCAGTGGTTAAGAGCACTGACTGCTCTTGCAGAAGACCCGGGTTCAATTCCCAGCACCCACATGGAGGCTACGAACTGTCCTTAACTCCAGTTCCAGGAGAATCTGAAGCCCTCTTTTGACCTCCACGGCACTGCACGACAGTGGGGTGCACTCACATACATGCAGACAATACACTCACACACATAAAATAATAAAATATTAAAAAAAATTTTTTTTAAAGCCAGGTGTAGTAGTGCATACCTTTAATCCCAGCACTCGGGACGCAGAGGCAGGCAGATCTCTGCGAGTTCAAGGCCAGCCTGGTCTACATAGTGAGTTTGCAGGTCAGCTGGAGCTACAGGGAGACCCTGTCTCAAAGAGACAGAAAAAAAAAAAATTACTCTCTGCCCTGGCAGCCATCCATTGTAAATAGCTCTTCATCTAAGGTGAGGCCTCATGACCCCCTCTCCTCCATCTATGCTGGAATTTTCAAACAACAGTTTTTATTACATTTAGGTACTTATATTTGAGTATGGGAGGGAACACACACGTCACATCAATGTGGAAGTCAGAGGACAACTTGGTGGGAGTCAGTTGTCCAGTTGTCTCCTAATGTGGGTCCTGGTGATTGAACTCAGGTCATCAGGCTTTTTTCTTTTTAAAACATTTTTCATTATTTTTTATTTATTTTATTTTTTTGATCTTTTTGAGATAGGGTTTCCCTGTAGCCCCAACTGGCCTTGAACTCACTATGATACCAGGCTGGCCTTGAACTCATAGACATCCACTTGCCTCTGCTGGGATTAAAGATGTGAGCCACCAAACAGCCCAGGTCTTCAGACTTTTGATGGCAAATACTTTTTTTTTAACCTACTGAGCCATCTTGCTGGCTCCAACAATTTTTAAAATTAAACATTCTGAGGCTGGAGAGATGGCTCTGAGGTTAAGAGCACTGACTGCTCTTGCAGAGGTCCCAGGGGTTTGATTCCCAGCGCCCACATGGCAGCTAACAACCGTCCTTAACTCCAACTCCAAGGGCATTGCACAACAAGAGTGCACTTACATACATGCAAGTAATACACTCATTTACATAAAATAAAAATAAATATTTAAAAAAAATAAACATTTTGACACAAAAGAACCAAGAATATACTCATTTGATACTTATTCCTCTGTATACAGAAATATACTGAGAAATAAAAGGAAAATATTGTTTAATGCTTTGTTTTTCATAATTAAACTATTTTTCTCTAAGAGAAGAAAAAATTGTGCAACAGTAAAAACACTGCCATTCATAACATGCATTGTGCAGAGCACACACACTGAGGGTTCAAAACCAAAGTACCAGTGAAGTCACACAATGCAACAGGGGCAAGCACTGCCAGAAACACCTCAGATTCATTATGTGTTTGATTCTGAATTAACTTTTGGTTGTGGTGAATTTGAAACCTTTTATTGTGTTTAAAATTTTCTCAACCCCTGCATCTGATTAGTGCAATCCCTAGTTAGGGTTGCAACACAGTTTAAGAAGCTGTACTCTAAGAAATAGCAGAGCAACAAGGCCTGTAAATAGTTTGGATTGTAAATACCTGAAGCAAGCATTTCAGCCATAAATCACTTGTATTGCTGAACTGTTGTAGGAAAAAGAATTACATGTTTTAAGTTACTGGTGGGTGTTTTTCAGCCCCCTCCTTGGCTGGCCTCCAACTCTGTCTTCCTGCCTCCAAGTGCTTGGAAGACAGGCATGCACCACCACTCCTAACCAACCACTTGGTCTTTATTCTATCAAGTGAGCCTGAATTCCTAAGTAACATTTTTTCCCAGCCTGCTTCCTCTCACCGTTCACTTCCTTTCCATAAACCTTTTGCTTCTCAGTTTGTATCATCCACCAACTGCAGCTCAGGCTCCAAAATGAGTATCATCTTGTTTTCCCTTTACTCTTTCATCCATCACCTGGCCACTGTTGTGACCTTTTGGCTACACCTCCAAAATATACTCCAAATCTGATCTCCTTATAATTCATACTGCCAAAACTGTAGCGACAGCCACTAACACCTTTTATCTGAACGCCAGTGATTTAACAGCTCACTCATTCCCATTAACCTGTTCCCTCTCTTCTTTCCTTGCCTTCTTTTTTGGGAAGTAGGAGTTAAACCTAAGTTTCATACTTGCTAAACACATGCTCTACCACTGAACATAATACCTCAGCCCTTGCCTCCTTTCCTGACTCACACAACGTATCTATATAGCCAGAATGAGATTACAAATAAGACCAATCTCCACTTTCAATCGTTTTCCTTTATGCTCAGAATGATTCCAAAGTCTTAGTTTGGTTTTCAAGATCCTGTAAGATGTGGGCCTTATTTCTCAGTTCATCTTGCCCCAGTCCTTTGATCTTATCCTGAATCCTTGAGAATGTCACTTCAATTTCAATTTCAGGGCTTGTGCATCTGTTGCTACTGTTGTTACACAGACATTGCTTAGCTGCTTTGTTAAGGCCTCAACTCTGATATATCTTCAGAAAATTCCTTCTTTAGTGATGGTTCCTGAAATTATATTACCTTGCTTGTTGGCTTTCATATTTACCACCTGTACTTTGTAACTAGAAATAAACTGTGTGTGTGTTGCTGGGAACTGAACATTAAACCCAGGGCCTTGCATATGTAGTAAGAGTTTTTGAGCACAGAACTAGAAATAAAGTGTGGGTGTTGACAGGGATTGAACCTACGGCCTCAAACAATTTTTAGGAAGATCACGCTGTGAAGAATGAGCATTCAGCCTACTAAGATAAGTTTTAACCCAGTCTTGCAAAATACTATCCTTATCATTACTGTAGCAGTAGATTTGGGGTTTTGGTTAGTTTTCCTGGAGACAGTGTCTTGCTTTGTGGCCCAGGCTGGCCTGACACATACTATGTAAATCAAGCTGGCCTCAAATGTGGGTTCTTTTTGCCTCAGCCTCCTGAGAACTGGGATTGCAGGTCTATGCCACCACACCCAGCTGACAGTAGTGTTCTCATCTCCCTGTCTTGTGTGTCTGTGTGTTAAAACAGAGCCTTCATATTCATGGACAGGCTCCAGTTGGAGTCATTCATGAAAGAGCATCAGCATCATTTTCCCCTGAGCACTTCCTTTTGGCACTTCAAAATTATCTGTCAGGCTCATCTGTATGAATTGCTGCCCAAACCCTAGAATACTCTTTCTCTAGAGTTCTGTTTCTTTTGAGTAGAGAAATGTATTAGAAGCCATGCTGGGTGTGGTGGTTCATGCCTATAATCCTCGCACTCACTTGGGAGGCTGAGGCAGGAGGACTGTCTATGAGTTCAAAGCCAGCCTAGTCTACATAGTGAGTTCTAGACCAGTCAGGGCTAACAACTGTCCATAACTTCAGTTCCAGGGGATCCAACCTGACCTTCATAGACATTGCACAACATGGGTGCACTTACATACAGGCAGTCAATACACTCAGACATATAAAATTGGAAAAATATTTTAAAAATAAAAAAAGGGGCTGGAGAGATGGCCAGTGGTTAAGAACACTGGCTGTTCTTGCAGAAGACCCGGTTCGAATCCCAGCACCCACATGGCAGCTAACAGCTGTCTGTAACTCCAGTCCCAGGGGATCCAACAGCTTCTTCTGACCTCCTTGGGCATTGCACGACACGGGTACACTTACCTACATGCAGGCAATACACATTTAAAAAATTAAAAAAAAAAAAAAAAAAAAAGCTTCATTAACTGGGGCCTGCCATTCTTCAACTTCTCCAAGTCCCTTGACCCACTGCGCATCACCAGCACTATAACTGGAGAATGGACACTGTGGGCTTACTTTGGGCTCACATAGAGCTCACATAGGACTGTAGGCTACTGGTAAAATGACCTTTACCATTCAGCTGAGCTGAAGCAGGAGAATAGAGTTTGAGGCCAGCTGATACTATATACTGAGACCCTGTCTCAAAAAAGAATAACGCACAGAAACTGGCACCAGAATCATGGTAGAGCAATTTTAACATTTTTCCATGTGACAGCTATTATGATTGCCAGTGTCTGAGCACATTCCAGGTCAGAGAAAAAGAAAATTTCCACTTTGTTTGATTTCAGTGCAGTTACATGTCTAAATCCTTTGTAATATATGTCTATTTAAACACGGCTGCATATTATTCCCTCAAAGCTGATGTCTATTTGACCCCATATTCTAGGAAGAGAAAGAAAACAAATTTAACCAAAGGAATATAATTAGATATAATTTTCTAGAGGTTCTTTTCTTCTGAATAGTGGTCCTATACTTAAAACAGTTATTTTATAGCCGGGTGTGGTGACACTGTCCTGGAACTCACTATGTAGAACAGGCTGGCCTTTAACTCACAGAGATCCACCTGCCTCTCCCTCCCGAGTGCTGGGATTAAAGGTATGCACCACCTTGTCTGCTTTATGAGGCGCTGGTAATTGAACCTAGAGCTTCATGCATTTAAGGTACTGTAACAACTAAACTTCATCTCCAGCCCTATGCTGTTATTACATAAATATTTTCTTTTTTCTTTCTTTCTTTTTTTTTTTTTTTTTTTTTTTTTTTTTGGTCTTTTTGAGACAGGGTCTCCCTGTAGCCCCAGCTGACCTGGAACTCACAGAGATCCACCTGCCTCAGCCTCAGCTGGGATTAAAGGCGTGCACCACCATGCCTGGCTATAAATATTTTTCTTATTGCCTAAAGTTCTCCCTTAAGATTATCTTTAGTTGCAGGTGAGAAGTCTTCCCTAGAAATTTTAATGTAGGATGTTAACATTTTATTAAAAAAGGTTATCTCTTCCCATGAAAGCCAAACAGAAAAACAAAGAGTATTACTAACATTTTCTATTTATTCATTAATAAAAAGTGCATAGTACAAGCCCTTTACCCAAATCCAAGTACTCAGTAAAAGATTAACAATAAACTCTGGATGGCACAGACTAATTCGTTTGGCATGATTTAAACATTTAGGAACAGCAAATTACATTTAGTACATCACATGACCATTTTGACTTTTAACAAAATAATCTTCAGACATGGTAACAAATAATAGGATTTTTCATTGAGAAATATAAGACTAACCCTATCTACTATTACAATAACAAAATTTAACACTAACTATGAACTCTCTGCACTTTTCTTTCTCCAAGTTGCTATTTTGTGTTTTCAACTAAGCTGGTCAAATCTGAATACAAAATCACTGAGAGCGACAGACTTCCAAGGTTCCTTTGAAAAATCTAAGATATTGGCAATTGCAGAAACACTATCACAGACACTAAATGGAACCACAGTACTACTATTCTCAGTAGCTACTCTGGAAAAACACTGTGAAACATGACTTACTGACCATGGGTAGTGTTTAGTTAGATACATGATAAAATCTTTCACTATAAACAGTTCCAATGTTTACCTTTCCCATATGGAAAACAAAACTATGACTTTGTACAAAACAAAATTACTCCAGGCAACATTAACAGCCAAAAGTGGCAGAAATATAAGCTTTCTTTTTTACTTTCTCTTTATTTTTAAAGAATTGTAGCTACAGGTAGAGAATGTTTACAAGCCAAATAATGGTTTAAGAATATGCTCAACTAAAAGGCCACACGTAGAAGCTTCAAGAAGGGAATATAAATTATTAGTTAGGTTAATAATACTCTTATGTGCAGGACACTGTCTTTTCAGGAAATACAGAGAAATTTTATAAAGATAACCAACCAACCTGAGACTACTTCACAAAGAAGCATTCTAACAGGCACTGAAATTTTTGAACTGGTTGTTCTTTACCCAACTGTGTTCATATACATCTGCTGAACATATAACTAAGCCTTTCCTATGTCTGAAAGTAAAAGCTTTGAGGGGAAAAAACTCTGTCACTAACTTAATAGAGGGCTCATATAGGAAAAGGTCAATATATTTAGACACAGTAAGTGAATGTGACCAAAATGAAGAACTAGATAAGAATTCAAATTTCTAGGTCTCTAATACTAGACATTCTGCACCCATATTTTGGCCATTTCTTTAGCCAAGATGAAGAATTCTCAATTATTTGTGAGGCAGATTCAGTGACTACAATTAGTATCTCTGTCAGGGACTGGCTTTCTAGCAGGTTAGAAAACAGACTGTTGGGATACATGTGCAAGCCTTCAAGAGTTAAAGGGCAAGGATAGAAAAATGAATGCTACACAGATTTTGCTCCGTCTGATGCCATACTAATTTTCTTCAGCTCAAAATTCCTTTTCTTCTTCTCCTTCTCCTTCTTCTTATGAGACAAGGTTTTGCTATGCAGTCCAGCCCGGCCTGGAATTCACTATGAAGTCTTGTCTGGCCTCAAAAGTACCACCAAACCTAGCTTCAGTGTTAAACTCTTTACCAGCTATAAAGCCAGGAAGGCTTCCAGTTGGCCACAGCAAGAGGAAAATCCTTTACTCCATGGTGTTTGTTTATTCGGGATTTAACTTACCTGGGTTAAATTGCCTCTTTATAAGCACAAGTAATGAAGAAGTGGTTATATTATTTCAAGAGCAGAGACAAAGCCAAATGCACCAGGATGAATGCAAACAGTCAGTATTACAGTAGGGAATGAAGTGATGCCCTCAACAATATTTATGAGTTAGAGTATAAGCAGAATAGCGAGAGAAAACAACCAGAGTGTCACACAACTGGATCGGAGGCCTGTCGACGGTACAATGGTATGGAGAAGTTTATTTAAGTCATACAAATAATTTCTCAGATCTACACAGTGACAACCTAGACTGACCTAGTAGGAGAAATTCTTACATTGATAGCAAAATGTATTCTGGCCCCCATAAATCATCTGCAGCCACTTACTAGGGAAAAACAGTTCTATAACCACACAGGTTAGATGGGTATTTTTTAAATGCCGTATTTGTATTCACTGTTTTCCAAATTGAGCAAAACAATGCAACGTTGCTCTTACTTTTTAATACATTTCAAAATTTTGTTGATATCAAAGTTTCTTCCCATCCTAATATATCCCATTACTAAACAGAAATGAGCTAAGGGGTGAGAAAATATTCTTGTTTATAACTTTCCCCTTCCCTAGGAAGAAACTAAGACTTCATTAAATACGTTTTTTAAGTCAGAAGGGTAACAAACGACTCAACATTTTTCTTCAAAAAAAAAAAAAAAAAAAAACCTGTGAATAAGTAACAAACATTAGCAACCCAATCACCCCATACAGATGTTAGATAATTTCATTTTAACAGGGAAATGTTAGAACAGAAGAGAAGCTTCTTGAGAGGCACTCGCTTAAAAATAATTATTGGTCAAGTTATTACCGGATAGAGATTATACCTGGCAAAGGCAGAGAACATAAACTTTCTTCCTTTCATGAACATTGTGAGGCTAATGTATGCTGGCTTTCAATGGCTTGTAATGGACTGTACATCAACCACCATATCATTCAATCATGTTTATTTAATCTTAACATAAGACATTTTTAATGGGAATTAAAAAATTTGTAAACAACCAATTCACTTCTATTCTAGCCACATAAGCCAGCTCTAATGATACCAATTTTACCTGTAAATTGTAAGTAAAATATTCTAAAAGCTGCCAAAGTCCCAAGAACTACAGAAAACTGTCACCCACAAAAAAATTGCCAAGTAATATAAGCACAGTGTGGCTGTAATTGTCTTTCATACAAGCCCAATAACCCCAAATAATGTTACAAATACCTTATGAAAAGAAAATTTAAAACTCCATCAAAACTATTTAAATGCAGAAATCTCAGTTTTCCTTCAGTCAGGCCAGAAACCACCACAGGCATTATGATCACAGTCACAAAAAGAACAGTGGAATGTTTAAGTTTAGGCCAACCAACAAAGCCCCAGGTAACTTTTCAATATAATCATTTACTCAAATACACTGTAAATAAGAATCGTGGCGACACAGGAAGCAAAAGTAAGCTTGCAGGTGAAATTTCTAGAAGCTCATGAAAAACGATACCATCCCAGATGCAGATGCAAAAGGAAACAGTTCTAATGGCGTTAAGAGTACTCTGGTCATCTTCAATCATTTGGTCGTGCAAGACGTTAACAATTTTTGCTTCCCAGATCATAAAATTAGTCCACAGGAGGAGCTGGTGGATCCTGTCCCTGGCAGTAAAAGAGAAAAATGATGTAAGTGACTTGATTTAAATCCTATACAACAAACCTAACACAAATAAGAAATGTACAGCACCTCTTTCCCCAACCCCCTCATCAACCTTATACTCACTTGTGCTCTTCATGGATTTCCACAGGGGAACACAAGATACACTCAGTGTTAGGGTTGCCAGTGTGTCCAAATATGCTCTGTTTCATAGTGTTAAACTTTCTGAACACTGAACTTAACTGAACCTTTGATGTTCAAAACAATAAATTCACTTATTTAAACCACTTTATTTTTTTTTTAATTATCTATTAGTTTTATTCTATGTGTATGTGTGTATTGCCTGCATATATTTGAGTGCACCCATGTCGTGCAATGCCCACAGAGGACAGAAGAGGCTGTCAGATCCCCTGGAACTGGAGTTACAGTTGTTAGCTGCCATGTGGGTGCTGGGATTCAAACCCGGGTCTTCTGCAAGAACAGTCAGTGTTCTTAACGCTGAGCCATCTCTCCAGCCCCCGAACCACTTTATTTTTTAAAGTATTTTATTTATTATTTTTATTTTGTGTGTATGAGTGTACTGCCTGCATGTATGTGAGTGCACCAGTGTCGGGCAACGCCGCAAGGGTCAGGAGAGGGCTTTGGATTTCCCTGGAACTGGAGTTAAGGACTGTTTGCAGCTGCAATGTTGGTGCTAGGAATTGAACCTGGGTCCTCTGCAAGAGCAGTCAGTGCTCTTAACCACTAAGCCATCTCTCCAGCCCCTTATTTAAACCACTTTAATAGAAAGCATATAAATTAAAAAGATGATGAGGGGACGGAGAGCTGGCTAACAGGACTGGCTACTCCTGCAGGGGATGGGAGTGCAGTTACCAGCACTTGCATGTCAGCTAACAACCATCTGTAACTCTAATTCCAAGAGATCTGTCACCCTCTTGTGCCCTTCTCCAGCACTGAATGCACATGGTGCACTTAGAGGCAGGCAAAACACTCAGATACATTAAAAAAGTAAATAAATAAATAATTGAAAAAGAAAAGATGAGCACTATGTCAGGTTGTACATATCTGTGATCCTAGTAGTTGGGATGCTGAGGTAAGAGGACTGAGGGTTTGAAGCAAGTTTGAGTTACAGAGTAAGTTCAAGGCCAGCTGGGTCATATAATGAGATTTTGCTTCAAAATATAAAAAGATGGTATAGTGGTGCATGCCTTTAATCCCAGCTCTCCAGAGGCAGAGGCAGAGCAGAAGCAGGAGGATCTCTGTGAGATTGAAGCCAGCCTGGTGTATATAGTGAATTCTAGGCCAGCTGAGGCTACAGGGAGACACTGTCTCACCCCCCATGCCCCCAAATAAAACTAACAAATAAAATAAAAAGAAAGGGGAAGAAAGGGGTAAAGAACAGCTTTTAGGATTGTTGGGAAGATTTTATTTACTTGCCCTGACATGTTCTGTAAGGGTAATCAATATTTCTATTTGCAACAAGAATTTTGTTTTGTTTATTTCTTGCTTAGGACACTAATAGGAAGCTAATATTTCTAGAACCTCTGGCCTACAATGAACTAAGGTCCAGGGGAAGTTTCACTTTTTTTTTTTTTGGTCTCTTTTTGAGACAGGGTCTTCCTGTAGCCCCAGCTGGCCTGGAACTCACAGAGATCCTCCTGCCTCTGCCTAACAAGTGTTGGAATAGGTGGAAGTGTCACTTTTCAATTTTTTTTTTTTTTTTCGGTCTTTTTGAGACAGGGTCTCCCTGCAGCCCCAGCTGTCCTGGAACTCACTATGTAGACCAGGCTGGCCTTGAACTCACAGAGATCCACCTGCCTCTGCCTCCTGAGTGCTGGGATTAAAGGCGTGCTGGGATTAAAGGCGTGCCCGGTGCAAGTGTCACTTTTAATGGCTTCTAAATCAGGTTATTAAATTGAATGTCTTTATCTCTAAACATTGAAGAAATTGTTCCCTGACATAAAAATAATAAAGCTATACATAGACTATAAGAAAACAGCAGGCCAGGGGTGGTGGGATATGCTTTTAATACCAACACTGCCTGGTCTACATGACCATATAGAGACTGGTTGCCTCTGCCTCTCGAGTGCTGGGATTAAGGGGTGTGCCACCATGCCCTGCAAATTAAAGCTTCTTACGTGGGCCAATGAGGCCTTCTTTCTTAGTTGCAGTCACCATAATGTGTGTCTATGGGTTCTACTCCTAAAAAGTCCAGAGTGGTAACCAATTAACAACACACATTTGCTTTCTCCTTATACCAGAAACTACTCATTAAGTAATGCCAACAACATAAAGCTGCAGAAAAGCAGCAATTATTTTACTGAGACTGAAGAGCAGAATTAATGGAATAACTTGGTGTTCTAACATACGGCTTCAGGGCTAGAAAGATGGCTCAAGTTTAAGAGTACTGGCTGCTCTTGCCGAGGACCCAGGTTCAATTCCCAGCATGCACATGGTGGCTAACAGCTGTCTGTAACTACAGTTCCAGAGGAATATGATGCCCTTTTGGGATCTCCTTGGACATTGCACGTTACACATGCAGTTATATACACTCATACACAAAAAATTAATATTTAAAAAAAAAATCTTAATGTGGCTTCATGTCACATACACACACACAATTTGTTTTTGAGACCAAGTCTCACATAGTCTAAATTGTCCTTAAACTTTTTATGTATCCAAGAATGATTTGAACTTTGGATTCTCCTGTCAATTCTACCTCTCCAGTATGCCCAAGCATACCTTAAATACGAGGTGCCAGAGAACCACCCTTCAAACTAAGCAACATCCCAGTTGAAAACTTTTTCGGATGCTGTATAATTTTATAAACACCCCACCTCCTCCTAAGATAAGGTCTTACTTGTAGCCCAAGCTAGTCTGAAACTCACTAGGTTGCCTAGGCTGGCCCTAACTCATGGCAGTCCTCCTGTCTCAGGCTCCCACATGCTGGGATTATAGATGTAAGCCACCTACACCTAGCTGTCTTCGCTGTTTTCTAAGTTTAACTCCACAAAGGACTACAGGGACTGCAGTATTTATTAGAATTATATTGGAAGAATTCAGTCCATAAATTAAATCTTCCTCAGATAATTCAGTCAAAATAAACATCCCCTTTCCCCAGTCTCCCCCCCAAATATTAATTATCTACCAGACTTACACTGTGAGGGCTGGTGGGCTTTCCAGGGAGGGTTGATCCTCTCAGATTAGGAGGTCTCAGTAAGAACAAGATCACTGCAATAGCCACCCAGGCCATTAAGATCATCATAATACTGATGCCATTGTCACCAGACGGTCCTGGCACTGAAGACAAACAGAAAGTGTATTTGTAGCAAAACTATAGCTTGATTATAATATAGTTAAATAAATATAAAAGCAAATTCTAATGGTTAAGTACAAGCTTCAAAATTACAGTAAGAAAACTAATCATTCAGAGTCTAAGAATACATCTTCAATTTCCCTTCAGGGAGAAAATCTGCATGGTAAATTATGTTAAATAGTAATAAACCAAATTATTGTAAATGAAGGCTTTGACTGGTGTTAATAGTTCTATTTTGTGGTAACAGAATTCTAAGGATCTGATAAAAATTAAGGATACTTATCACTATAAGACCCACAGGCCACACATACTTAACCATTTTGTATTAATTGTGAAACGCTCATGTACTCAGGAAAACACAAATCCAAAGACTTGCTGATCCATAGAACCCTGATTATGAATGCCCAATATGTCCATAGAAAAACATTCCTCCAGGGGGAAAAACCTGAATCTTAATTATAGAAGGAGCACAAAATCTACGGTATTAAGAAAAAGGAATAAATCAAGCCTGGTAACCCATGGCTTTAACCCCAGTACTGGGAGGCAGGCACAGGCAGCTCTCTGTGAGTTCCAGGCCAGCCAGGGCTACAAAGTGAGACCCTGTCTCAAAACAACAGCAACAACAAAACGAAAAACCAAAAAAACTCCTCCACCACAAAAGGAAACATCTAGATTATATGTATATAAATTAAATGGTTCCTTTAATGATATTCTCAACTAAAGAGAGATTAACTTGGCCTTCTTTTACCTACTATTTCCACATGGTTTGTTTGTTTGCTAAGATGATATTTCACTACATAGTCCATGCTAGCCTCAACTTACTGCATAACCCAAATTGGCATTAAGTTGTCATAATCCTGCCTCAGCTTTCTACATGCTGGGATTAAAGGCATGGGCCATCACGTCCAGCTAGTTTGTTATTTGAGACAGGTTCTCAGGTCACCTAGGCTGGCCTTGAACTCCCAATCCTCCTGCCTCTGCTCCTGAATGCAAAGAATGTGCATTTGCGTGATAATGGTGCACATGTGAGAGTTAGTTTTTAACCTTCTACCATGTAGGTTCCAGGGATGGAAATCAACTTCTCAGGCTTGGTGGCAGGCACATTTACTCACTGAGTCATCTTGCCAGCCCACCAGCTAGATAAGTATTTTAAAAGTCAATGCCTTTGACTGGGCCTGTGGCACATGCTTTTAATCCCAGCACTCAGAGGCAGAGGCAAGAGGATCTCTGTAAGCTTCAGCCTGGTCTACATAGTGAGTTCCAGGCCAGCCAGGGCTGTATAGTGAGACATTATCTTAAAAAAAAAGGGGGGGGGGGCTGCTGGAGAGATGTTTCAGTGGTTAAGAACACTGACTGTTCTTGTAGAATACCCAGGTTTGAATCCCAGCACCCACATGGCAGCTAACAACTGTCTGTAACTCCAGTTCCAGGGGATCTGACACTCTTCTGACCTCCACAGGCATTGCAAGACATGGGTGCACCTACATACATGGGCAATACAAGCATACACATAAAATTTTTTAAAATATTTTTGAAAGAAAAGAAGAAAGGAAGGAAGGAAAAGAATTTTTTCAAAAGAAAAAAGACAGAGTGGGCCATCAAAATGGCTCAACAGGTAAAGGTGTCTACTGCCAAGCCTGATGAACTCATGGTGGAAGCAGAGAACCAACTCTCACAAGTTGTCCAATGACTGCCACATGCATGCTACAATATGAGTGCACATATACACATACATGCACACAAAATAAATAAAAATGTTAATTTTATAAGAAGGAGGGGATGCATGTATGTAAAGATGTATCAGTATTTCTCAGATTCCTGAGGCAGCCACTTGTTTAATTCAGAATTACAAGTACCTATTATACTACTGGTCTATGGAATTAAGTTGAATTAGGTTGAATGAAGTCTACTTAGGAACTCAACTTGGGGGCCAGAGAGATGATTCAGGGTTAAGGGCACTTTCTGATCTTCCAGAAGACCAGAATTTGGTTTCTAGTACTAACGTTGGCCAATTTACAACCATCTGTAACTCCAGCTCCCAGGGATCTGACACTCTTCTGGCCATTGTGGGCACACACATGTGGAATACACTCACACAGACACACATACACAAAAATAAATCTTTTAAAAATCCCACAAATTTTCAAAAATTAAAATTATAGATGATCAGAGTTCTAGAGAAAAACAGTCTATCTCTAGGTGGTTGCTAAAACTGCCTGTCAAGACTACAGCTGGTTTTGGTTTCTCTGCATTGAGGGAAAAAGTAAAAGCTATCCAAACAGGATGTAGAAACCAGGCTGACACATCACATAAGGTTCCATGGGCCTAGGACTCACTCCCAAGCGGCACTGTTGAGGCCAAAGCACTAGTCACCAAAAGGGACACAGTCAATTTAAGTGCTTGGCTGGCTCAAGAGTAAGTAGATGGGAATACAGTTTCTGTTCCAACCCTCGTCACTTTCTGACAAACAGCTAACTCAGTACTGGAGTCACTAAACTGTATTCCTTCTTATTCAATACATCTGCGCTGTTTCTTTCTCCCTTTTTGAGGGGTGCTGGGTATTGAACCCTGGGCCTTGCATATGTAAAGCAGGCAATTTACCAGTGAGCTACATCCCCAACCCCACTACTGTTCTTCTGGTTCCTCATTGCTAGTATTTCTGCACCTACATAACGGAGACCTGTTTTTGTTGCTGCTGCTGTTCCTACATAACGGAGACCTGTTTTTGTTGCTGCTGCTGTTTTAAATTTATTACCAATAGAAGACAATTAACACAGAGACCCACAACTAGTAATATGCAAAGAGTAAGAGACTGGGGAGTCCTCAGCCCCAAATGGGACATATATACACCCTTACCCGCAAGGCTCAGGGAACTTCTTGGAAGAAGAGTCAGAAAGACTGTTAAGAGGTGGTGAGCGAATAAGAAAACATTTTCCAGACTGCAAGGCAGTCACACATATCAACTCCCAGCAATTGTGACAGCATGTACAAGACCTGCTCTAGCTTAAGTCAGACTAAGTCCCATCTGGGATTGGGGAGGTGGGCATGAACTCTCACCTCTAGCTGAGCTATTGGCATTTGATAGGGAGAAGTTGGTTTTCCTTAAGGGTGTGACCCTGATAGGTCAATCATGCTGCAGGTCAGGTTCCATATCCCAGAGTATTTGGGCAACATATATTGGACTTGATGGGGAAAGGGTATGAAGTTGGTTGGATAAGGAGGTGGGGTGTATCTAGGAGTAGTTGGGGAAAACAGAAATATGATCAAAATACACTGTATGCCAGGCACCCACCTTTAATCCCAGTACTCACAGCACAGAGACAGGCAGATCTCTGTGAAATAGAGGCCAGCCTGGTCTACAGAGGGCATTCTAGGCCAGCTAGGGCTACAGCGAGATTCTGTCTCAAAAAACAGAACAAAGCAAAATAAAACACACATCCCCATAAAATAAACTGTATGACGTTTTCAAAGAGTACAAGTATTTTAAAAACTTGTATTGCATCTGTGTAGGTCACAGGACAACTGGAGGGTGTTTGCTGGTCCTAAAAGCTGCTTTTCCACTTGAGCCTATCCCACTCCCACAGGGTCTAGCCATTATCTTCTCTGCTACACTTCAACCCCTTCTTCATGGGAGTCTTCCCATAATCTTCTTCCTTTCTTTCCTTCTTCTGTCCTGCCCACTCTCTTACACAGCCAGGCTGGCCTCAAACTCCTGATGACTAACTAACTCCCAAGTGCTAAGATTACAGCATGTGTGTGCTATCACACCTAAAAACACTATTAACCAAACATCTCTGCTGATCAACCCAGTGAGTAACCACACTGCCTGTCGCTGCAACTCTGAGCACACTGGCCTGACCTTTGCTAGCATGATTTGGCCCTACTTCACTAATCATAGCTCTGTTCACTTCTCAGAAAACATCATCTAAGTCACTCCATGCCTCCTCCTTTAGCTAATGGCTCCCTAGCCTGGCCATGCATCAGAATGGCCTGTGATTAATACCACAGAGTCTAACCACAGATTCTAAGGTCCTACCTCAGACTATCTGATTCAGGACAGCATACCAGTGTGGTTTAGTTTTTTAAAAAACCTTCCCAAAACTGGGCGTGGTGGCGCACACCTTTAATCCCAGCACTTGGGAAGCAGAGGCAGGCGGATCTTTGTGAGTTCAAGGCCAGCCTGGTCCACATATTGAGTTACAGGACAGCTGGGGCTACAGAGAGACCCTGTCTCAAAAAGACAAAAAAAAAAAAAAAAACAGACCTTCTCAAATGAACATGATGTAATACTAATTCAGTGCTAGTTTGGCAGACATTATTTAACTAGGCAAACTCAGTCCTTCCAAGGCACATGGTATTCCCACCCCTGCCCTGCCCTACATGCTTTTAAAACTAACCCCCATCTAGTCTGCTACCTCCTTTCTCCGATCAACACCTCATTTCTTCTGCCACTTTCCTTCTGCCTTCTCTAGAACATCCTAGCATTTCTTATTTGAAGGAATGGCTTCCTATCTCTATTAATTAAGTGATCAAATTGTTGTTTCTCCCTATGCTGAGACTTAAACCCAGGAGCTACATCCCTTCCCTAGATTACTAGCTTTAATTTATTTTTATTTTATGTGTATGAGTGTTTTGCCTGATGTAAATGCATCTGTATCATGCAATGCCCATGGAGGACAGAAGAGGGCATCAGATTCCCTGGAACTGGAGTTAAGGAAGGTTGTTAGCTGCCATGAGGGTGCTGAGAACTGAACCCAGGTCCTCTGAAAGAACCACCAGTGTTCTTAACCTCTGAGCCATATTTCCAGCCCCTAGATCATTAACTTTTTTTTTTTAATGTTTTTCACATCTACTAATTATTGTTTTTTAATCATTATTTTTTTTAATTTTTTTTTCATACAGAAGAATTCATTCCAAAGCAATTGACATTGAGACGTTTTCACATGCATGTCTAATCTCTATATACATGACTATCACTGGTCAC